CTATCTGTGCCCTGACCACCACGGGTATCGAACCCCTGATTCTCGCGTTGTAAGTCAGCAGAAATACCGCTTTGCCACTTGGGGGCTATTGTTTCATTATCTGAACTTAAAAGCTATTTCTAGTGGTGATAAAAATAATCTCCATATAAGCTGTATTGAAGAAAATAATACAATTTATCTTTATGGATGCAGTTAATGTAAATTCACTCTGAAAAGGGTACATTTATCTTTGCTTATGCAATATTTGGATAGTTTCCTCTCTCTTGAAATAACTTGGAATGTTTAAAAGAACGTAAAGGTTCAATCCACAATAAGCTATTTTTTAGAAAAAATGCGTAGTAGCTAACTAAAAAATTATTGATCCAACTCCAAGGAAGATTATAAACTTTTCTGTCTTTCGGTCCCTCAGTGTGACAGCGGTAAATTTATGCACTTACAACGCTAAAATCCGGGTTCGATTCCCCGCGGTGAACACAGCAGAAAGCTCAATGTGGCTTTGCTCTAAAATAAACAAACAAGCTATATCTTTCGCACCTTTCGGGGGTCTTTGCTTTTCATTCTTCTGTCGCCATGACTAAAATCATTTAAAAAACGAAGTGGTTTTCTAAGGGTACTTAAAAACGTTTTCAAACAATTATTTTCGTTAAAAAACTCTTTATATGTGAGCTTTTTCAGGATAATAAAGTTTATTAACTTTAAAATAACTGTGAAGAATATATTACCGTATTAATCTCTAAAACAACAAAATAGTGCCTTTTAGGGTCAAAGTTTCCGTTGAATTGTACTTTAGCTAAATGAATAAAAGCTTATTTTACCTTCTCGCACACTTCGGTATGCGAAAAAAAAAAGTTTTAATATAGTTTATATTCAAGTATTTGAAAAATATATGTAATATAAATATCATATTTTGTTCTAATTTTTAAACAGTACATATTGATAGTTTCACTAAACATTAATTAACTTATTAAGTAGAAATTAAAATACTTTGTGATTTTCACTTTGTAATAAAAAGTTTTTTTTTCATCCGGGACCCAATAACAGCAGCTCCATGATTATTATGTGTTTGAGTTGGAATTTTGTGTACTTTCACCGTAGTTTGTATATACATGTACATGTTTAAAATGATAATAACGTATTACTTTTATTGATATAGTATCAAACTGTAAGAGTAAACGTATTAGCTTCTGAAATGTATATAAATGCTTGAATTATTATTATTATTATGTGATTTAGCATAAAAATGTACCGTTTTTCATTTTTTTAACTTTAAGAGGATTAGGTTGTTAAAATAAAATTTGTTAAGCCTAACTGAATTTTTGTATCACTATCAGTGTAGCCTATGTCACTATCATAGTAGATTGTAGGCATAACGTAAGCCTAACTTGTGTAAACTAGTAAATTATTATCTTGAGATTGGACACTGTCTCTGATGGATATTATAATTAATTTGTAGAAACTTAACCCGTCCGTTTTGTCATAGTTAATCTCAAACACTGCGAGTGAGTCTTAAAAGTTAAAGTTAAAAACTCCTGTTCGTAATACAACATGGCCATGGTTGAAGTTGAACAAGCATTAAGTTTATCTACGTCATTTGAGAAAAAAGAGGATCAGAGTCAGAAGGGAGGTAAGTATATAATATAATATATTGAATAAGCTACAGAAGAATGACAACGTTTAAGACTTTGTAACCATTAACTAAAGAGAAACTGATAATTTTAAAAATACATAGGAAGCCTAGTCTGTTATTTGATTCACTACTTGTCACTCAGTTACAACTTAAGTTATACTGGTTAACCCTTTGACTGTGACTACGTACATTGTAAGTAGGTATGCAACTCTTGTGGAAGTTCTTTACAAAAATGAAACTAGTGGATGAAATTATTTTAAATTAAAGGTCTTATAAATTATAATTATGTAGTTTTGAAAAATAAGGTATTTGATTTTAATATGTTTCTAAAGCAATGTTTTTTACATGCCTTTTGTTCTTTTTGCATATTCCGTATCCAACATGCAAAGCAATTTTAATTTTAAGATTAAAAATACTTTTATGCATCACAAAACTTTCAAATTTCACACATGAAATCCTTATAATGTCCAGATAGTTATCAAATGTTTCTTAAGAAAAACTTTACATATTATATGTTATTTTCACTAACGAATATCCGTAAGGGTTTGGTTGATTTGACTGATCTCATAACCATCATGAAATAAATAGCAAATAAGTATAAATGCCATTTTTATCTTAGAATGACTGCAAATTATAACACAAAAACATAAATGTTTAGACTAAATAGCTTAAATCTCATAACATTATACATTTATAT